AGCTCGGTCCAGTCCAAGCTGCTAAACTTTGTGACAAATACAGATGCTGTATTAAGCCACTAAGTCACTAAGCAAAAGATAGCTGCTACACACTAAGCTCATTCCTATCCCTGGGTCCTAATACTAGTTGCCCCCTCTGGTTGGTATGTTGTCTTTCCATATCTGCTGTAGAAGCTCTTTCCGGTCAATTAGATATTTTAAACCACAGCATGTAGAAGGCCTTGTCTGACTACAAGGCCAAAGCGGTCTTATGTTCACTCTCTGTCATGTCATTATGTTTTTCCTCATATCATTATTTCATGTTTTCTTGTTCACCACAGTTTATCACATCTAAGACATTGTTGGTGGTAATCCATTCCTGTTTCAGAAATTTTAAAATATGAAAAAAAACAAGTCCTCTGAATTGATGAAATACAACATTTGATTATTTATTACTTTGTGTCTTCATGAGAGTATATGCTTCATGAGAGTAGAGACCTCCTACTTCGTCTTGACCCCCTTCAATCATTCTCCATATTGGAGTTAAAATAAACTTTCTAAAACACTAATACAATCACACTACTCTTCTATTTAAAATGATTAATTGCCCCCCCCTTAGGACAAAACCCAAAATGCCTACATGGCTCACATGCCCTTCATGATTGGGCTCTTGGCCACACATCCGTCCAGATTCAGACCACCCTTGGCTTTGCTCATTTCTCCAGCAACATCTGTCTTCTTTCAGGTCTTAGACCACATAATTCTGGCCTCAAAGCTACTAACATTGACTCTGCCAGATATTCTTTCCCAGCCTCTCCACCTGACTGACTTTGCCAATCATTCATCCTCAATTGTTACATCCTCAGTGAAGCCTTTTCTGCCCCTCCTAACTGACTTAACTTCCTCTCTTATAAAACTCTACACCAATAACTGTTGTAATTATAAAATACTTGTATAATTGTTTATTTAACACATTTATTGAATACCTACTAGGTACCAGACACAGATTTAGGCACTGAGGTCACAGAGGTAGATGAAACAACAAAATATGCACCCTAGTGGAGTCTATGCTTCCCTGAAGGCAAATGGTCAATAAATAAGATGAATATAGAAGAAGTAACATGTTAATGACTGTTATGGAGAAAATTAAGGAAGGAATAGGGAAATACAAAATCCTAGTGGTCAACAGCTGCATATTTACATAGAATGCCCATGATAGGATCTGACATTTCAATAAAAACTGAAGGAGATGAGGAGCAGATATTTGGGGAAGTGAGAAGAGCAAGTCCAAGGGTGCTGAGGCAGGATCCTGATCACTGGTAATGGATTTTAAAAACATTTCATTCCATAATTTTCACAGTGCTCTAGTTCAAGAAGTAGAGGAAAATCAATATATTTTTCCTTTAAATACATGAATCTTTACATAAAGATACAGTCTCACAGAGTATGGCTTAAACAGGTAAATGTACTATGTGTCTTGCCAAAGAGGCAAGTCCAAAGTATTGGTTTCTCAACTTTTTATCAGGTTTGTTTATGCAGAAGGAGGAAAGAGGCAGGTGGAGTCATCCTGAAAGGGTACACATAGAAAGTGAGTTTTGGTTGCGTAAAGGAGGAACAGTTCTTCCACCACTGGGACTCAGCAGAAGCAGCAAGCCAGGACCTGGTGTAGGTACTGCAGCCTTCGGTTGACCTTGAGACATAGCCACTAGGCCTTCTCTCGCATAGAGTCAGCTGGATATGCTCCTAACTAGGAAAGAAAGTACAAGTGTCAGGGATCAAATCAGCCAATATCATTTGCAAGGGACCATGTAGGTACTTAATGAACTGTTTTTTCTTGTCAGTGGGTCTAAGCATTTATGTTGAAGCTGCACCTGTGAACAGTCTCACAACCTAGCAATCCTTTTAGAATACATAACTAAAAGCCAACTGCTCACATATATTTCAAACATAGCATTCGTGCATAAACTGCTGTATTCTAAGCAAGTTGCATCAGCCAACTTTACATCTTAGGCCCATAGGCATGACTTTGGAGTCTGATGACCAAAGAACCTGACTACAGCAAAAGGAGATTAGCCAAGCTAAACCTCACCAAGACACCTAGGAAGAGGAACAATAAATTGAATTCACGGCAACATGTACACGACCAATACTAACAATTTTGTAAAAGCAAGTTTTGTTAAAAGCGGGAGAGAACGGTAGAATGAGTGTCCAAGTGTGAACCTGAGAGGGGGAGAACAGAGGATGCAAAACACAGCTCTGTCTAGTTCTCAACTTTATTTGAACTTGCTCAGTTTGGCTGTTTCTCTTCTCAGTGCAAAGGGGATCTTGGCCCAAAATGTTCTTGTCAAGGTTTATTATTTACCAAGCCTGCCAGTTCATTGCTTTTTCTCCAGATAAAATGTATGATTTTTTATGATTCTGTTTATTCATTGATTCATATGTGCATTTGTTGGGTCATACTCAACAAATAATTATCATTGCACTGCAATCAGTTCTATAGAGATGGACAAGTGGAGATCTTGTCTTATATATCAATAGCTTTCAAATGTGTCTGTGTAACAGAAAAGGCAATATATATGGTTAATAACTTAAACATTATAGTGTTATATAATTAAAAATATGAACACCTGTAAGTTAACATTCTGGTGAACATCCTTCCCAAAACTGCTCTTTTGCTTGCTCTCTTTCTTTTTCTTATGTTTGTTCATTATTTAGGTGGTTTTAAATACATTTCTGATAGGAAGATAAAGGCTTCCCCATAAGAAATGTTAAAAATATACACAAGATCATAATAAATTAAAAATTCTGAAGCCTCAAACAAAGAATGGTTTTGTTAAATCATTAATGTAGCCAAGTAACAGAAGTTTAGATTTTAAATTGTTTTTGCTGTATTAAACAACATCATATTTGATATCTTGGTGTATGCCTTTTCCAGGTGTGGAATTATTGTGGAATTATTCAACCACCCTGTGTAAAGGCTGCACCACCAACCTTACACAAGTACTTGCTGTGAAGGAAAGTGTATCAGGTATAGCATGGCCTTTTGTGGTTCAAGTAAAGTTGATTACTATTTTGTTCTTTTTGGGTTTCTGTAGATACACTAGGCAAAAATTGAAGGAGGGGCTAGCTAGAGAAATATTTGTTCTGTTAAAGTCTCTTGCTACTTCTAAAAAGCCACTTCATCTGAGTAGACAAAGAGAGAAAATATATGCCTAATTTGGGGCAGCTTAATTTTGAGGCAAAGGCCCTGAAAATGCTGCACAGGGCAACCCACGGCGTGTACCAAAGATTGTTTCCCTGTATGGTGGAATACCACTTTGCACTTTATTTTGCTAGTAAAAATAGCATTGGCCAATAAAAGTAGCAGCTAAATAGTACTGGGCTCAATACAGTATTTCTCTTATTTTATGCTCCCCAGTACCTTAAAAGGAGCTGCTCTGAAGTAACAGAGAAGTAAGTTGAAGTCACTGAGGCAACCAGGATTGGATCTACAAAGTTTGACTCCAGAGTCATGCTCTTGACATTAGTTATCTTGACTTTAATAGATATGAAGATGAAAATAAACTCAGGGTGCCTGGGTGGCTCAGTCAGTTAAGCATCTTGCCTTCGGTTCAGGTCATAATCCCAGGGTCCCGGGATCGAGCCCCAGGTTGGGCTCCCTGTACAGCTTCTCCCTCTCCCTCTGCTCCCTTGCTCCTGCTCTCTTGCTCACTTTCTCTCTCTCTCTCTCAAATAAGTGAATACAATCTTTAAAAAAAAAGAAAAAAATAAACTCTTAAGGAAATTTTAAACAAAATCAATTTTATTTGAGTAAGATACTAACTCACAGATAACTATGCAATATCTTTTTAATCCAGGATTCACATTAATGTATTATTTATTCAGAAATATTTATAAGTACTTCCTATTTGTCAAGTACTGGGACATACAGTGGTGACTAAGGTAGACATGGGACCTTACCTTCATAAAGAGGTTGGACTGTGGAGGAGACTGGCAGGAAAGCAGGCTGCCATAGGATTGTGGGGTGAAGTCTCTCAAGGTGAAGTCCAGCAGGCTGTGGGTTATGAGGAAGAGGACCCAAACTTCAACCTTAGGTCTAAGGTTTATCTTTAAAGCAGATTAAAGGTAAGTACAAGTGGTTAATTTTACATATACAACTTAAAAACATAGTCCTGTCTAAGAATTCTGTTGGAAATATTAGACAACTATGACATGCAAGGTTCATGGATAGGTTACTTTCTATTTTCTAACTGGCTTCATGGTATGACCAGAATTTCAGATAAAGCTTAGAAAAACATGTAACTTTTGGAAACTTGGCAGTTTTCTTTAGTTTAATGTTTCTCATAATTTATGGATCTCATGGGAAAGTTGTTTATCTCTAGTTTCTGGGATTTGCTAGAACTTTATAGAAATTATCTGACAGGCAGCTTTTGGAGAGATAGAGGTTTCCAAAATTTATATTTCAACCTTTTTATTAAGGTCTCTTGACACCAGATTTCCCAGCTGGTGAGCCAGATTCATTTAGATGGGCTTCACTGTGAAAATTGGGTGTGTCCCATGGTGCTGGCCATGTCCAGCACTGTCTCATCAGAGCACCTTAATGGAGTGGCCTTGTCACTAGGGCATCAGTGATCTTGTGAAAGGGACTATTTGTCTTTGCTCCCTATGCATCTTCAGGGTGTGCACTGCCTGACACAGAGTAGCTGCTCAATAATTATTTGTTAAATGAGGGAAGTATATGTCTGGGAAAACTAAAATGTAGAAAGATAAGTGGATTGATATTAGGGTGTCTGCCATAGCAGTTCCCTTTCAATGTTACAAATTCTCTATATCTATTCTGTCATAGGTGTGTAGTATCTGGATAAAAGGCCACCTTAGGTGAACACAATATGTTGAAACAGCTACAATTTCCACAGTCTATTCTGTTCTCCAATGTCAAATCACACTTTTCAGTAAGTGGTATCACCATTTCTCAAAATATCTTAGAGAAGCATTTGAAGCATGTGCTTTGAGGAGATGAGTTTGTTTTCAAAATATAAAGTGTGTTCCTATATGTTCATTTCAAGGAAGATAAGAGAGGAAAGACGGTATGTTCTAATTATCTTTATAATTTGCACATCTTCGATGATAATTTATTGTAACTGAAAGGAACAGCCTCTGCAACATAGATTATGGGCTCTTCTGCTTTGAGCTCAGAGGAATACACATGGTATGTACTGGATCTGAGCACAGAATGCTTCTATCACATCAGCTGTACAGGAGATATTATCAGCCAAACTATATGACATTCACTATCTAATTCCTTTCACTTCTTTTGGTAAAGACACTGAAAGAACTGATTTTAATCTGCGAATACCTCTTTTAAAGAAACTTTGAGAGATTTAGTGCTACTAGAGAAGCTAAAAGATACTGAAGTGTTTGTTAAAAGTGAGGAAAGCTGTAAAACAATGTAGAATAGGAAATGTACGCCTGATGACCTCTCCCCGACCTCAAAAGATAGTGAAAGGGATCTGATACGGATGACAACTGTCACTGGTTATGGATGTTACACTTACTTTCTAATGGAAAGACAACAAAGGCCACACTCAGTGGGTATTCAATGATCAGACAAAACCATTGAGAAGCATGAGGGTCTTACCTGAACATTGGTTCAAAGAAGTGTTCTAGCACTGGGAAACACTTAACAATACATAGAGAAAGGAAACTCGGATTGATGTTTAGTTGTCTACCTAAAATGATCACAAGAGAGGTATAGATGGAAAACTATTCTGCACATGATTTTTTTCAAGGAATATAGTATTGGTTTTGTAGTGCATCTTTCACCTAAATGTTTAGGTGGCATCTGTAAAACTATAGATTCTTTCATCCTTATATCAGAATGCCTGCAGTAATTGTGACACTGGTGTATAAACAGTTATTTCTGTACTGTGTAAATGAGGACATGTACAATTTTATCACAGTTAAATTAAAAATTATAAACTGGGAAAGGTGGTATGTATATATATGTGTATATATGTGTGTTATGAACCTAAATAAGTTATTGGACATGATATGTGAAATGTGTTTTATTCAGTATGATAGCTATCATTGTAGGAAAGTAGAATAAGTTAAACTTGCATGTCATTTATTTGAATACTTAAAATTTGTGTGATATAAGTGATTTTTCTTATTTGCTTTATGCTGATATTCATAGTTGTACAAATCATTTTTCTGTTCAGACTATTTCTAGGGAATATAAAATAAATATTTTGAAATGATATGTCCCCCTAATCTAATAATAGTCATTTCACTAAAGCCATAAATAGGTGGACATAATGATGAGTGATATGTCTGAGAACCTTTATGATTTGGGGAATATAAAATAGGGCGAGGTACATCAACTGCAAAAGCTAAAATCCTAGGAAACATAATTATCTATTAAGTATGTCTTTGGTTTGTTATTAATGAATAAGGAATGGGGTCCCCAAGACAGTAGAAATGACTCCATGGGATAATTAGAGGAATGAAAAATGTAAAGGGAATGTTTTCAGTAACTGTTAAGGGGTGTGTGTGGGGGGGTATACATATTTATATATATCTCGTATACAAATGTATACTTCATTCTTCTAATTACAGTTATTTCACACTTTCCCACATGATTAATGTAAATCAGCTTCCATTTATTAAATACATGGATCTTGTTTCAAATTAATGTACAAGATTTGTGAGTGATCGTGAATCAGTCTTATTTGATTTGAGTGCCTGAATATGACGTAGTATGCTTATTTCTATTTTAAAATGTAGTTATACTTTTAATGTGCTTTAATGTTCCTTCCTACTACCTTTTGTTATGGTCCATAGATATAAGTCTAAGATAATTAAGAATTTATATCCAAGAGGAGAGAAATAACAATAATTTCTTTCCTGAAGAGTTTCTTTAGCTCAGTTTAAAATGTTTATGTGAGAAAAAGCAATTGAAGAACGTATTTCACATAAGTATTAAATTGTTTTTAACTAATTACTTTTATATCAGAGCATAGAAACATATATTAAATCTATATATTTAGAGAGACATTCTTCAGTACTCTGTCAATTGTTAGGCATTTTCTTTTTTTTCGGATAAATTATGAAATTTATTTATATTTCACCATTTAAAAGCCAGAACATAACAAATTTCACTTTCTGGAAAGTCATCTTATTAGAAATACATGAAGTTCACTTAATACAAGGAAATCGGTTTCTGGGTACCACCAGTGAAATGGACACACTCTCATCCGTTTCCTCAAATGAAGGCTTTGTCAAATTTCCCTCCAAACTTAGACCTCTCAATTCAGGGAGGTCAGAGTGAACTTTTTCCAGAAATTACAGTGAAGACATAGACCTTAACATTTGGGCCCTCCCAAGCAACATCACATTAGAAAAAATTATTTTGCCCCCAAAGGGCCCTGTCTTTGCTGGTTACTAGGCATCTGCAGCCCCGACTGGCAGAGGGAGAGGCCCCCAACAGCACTACACACAGGCCCAAAGTGCGCTGTCACTTGCAACCTCAGCCACTGACCAGAAAAACTTTCCATGCTCAGTGTAGAGAGGTCTGACACGAAAAAGTGAACCTAAAGCCACATGCCTTTTGGTCAATCAGAGGTTCTGCTCCTACATATTAGACTGACAGCTCTTAGCCTTGTATTTATTAATATTCGTGAAACACGGTGAACTTCAAGTTTCTTGAGCTATTAACAAAGCAAGCTTCCAGTAGACAGTTTCCATCAAGAAATGCTCACAGGAGACATGTTTTGCCTTCTGAACAGCGTGTCTTATCAAAAAGAGATAGCAGGCTGTGATACTAGAGTTCCTATAACCTCTGCTTTAGAAGGCAGGTTTTCACACACTGATTTACACATGGAAACCATTTGTGATAGAAAAACAATATTCAGTTTAATCTAAGTTAACAAATAAAAGATAAATTAACTATAGTATCTACTGGAGCCCCTAAACCTTTTCCTTCTTATTCATTTGAGGACTCCTTCTTGTGCTTCAAGGACAAGAATGTAAGCAGGCTCCATATAGAGAGGTAAACATGACTCAGTCATTTGAAAATACGGCATTAGTTTGAAAATCAGAACCAAAAAGTTATGGCCCTCACGCTGCTCTTAGCTGACCCTCCTCCCCACTTATGGATAAATGGAGTTTAACTTTCCTAACCTAGAAACACTTATTCTCACTAAAAATATATGGTTACACCTTATCCTAAAAAGGCACCATGCAGGCATTTAAGACCGAACCAGTTAATTCTAAGGATGTGCAGGAGTGGTAGGAAAATATCACTAATCAGAACTTCCAGCATCAGATCATGCTAAACCCAGAACATTCACCCCAACAGGCCTTTTGAAATGTTTCCCAGGAGGTAAACTCCAGCTTTTGGCAGCTGCTGCTAAGGGCCAACGAACAAGAACTTCCAGAGCATAGAAGGAGCTCCATCACCAATTGGATACACACACCTCAGGGACAAGGAGAGAAGATGCTGGTCTCATTTGTGCTATTCATGACCCAGAAAAGGTCCTGGCTGGCTCAGAGGACCTGAACACCAGATGGGAGGAACAAGTGTGAAACAAGGATAGGTGGAGAAGCTGGGTTCTCTTCCAGAAGAGGAAGCAGAAACTCCACGAAGTAGCTGAGGAGCAATGAAAGACCAGGCATGTGACAGAATGAACAGTAGGGAAGACCCCAAAGGAAAGGACGGCTCTGACCTGGAGACCTCTTTCTCTGTCAGAAGGGACCCTATCCTAACACCACAGCTCACTTCCAGGTCTGTTGTACATTTAAGGTGTATGAGTCACATGTTTCACGCCTAACACACAATGGAAGCTCTGGAACAGGAGACGGACAGCAGAGACTGCTCACTGATCAAAGATGGAGCGCTGCAACACCTCATGTCCTCTTCATCAACATCGTAATCCACAAAAGTGTCGTAAGAAAACTGGTGCCAGCGCTGGATGTGCTCTACGAAGCTGGCGCTGTGGTAGTTGGGATCTCCCCTGGGCATTGAGGCACATATGGGGCAAACCACGGATTTGGTATCCGTGCTATGGGATAACTTGCAGTGTTCCACTAGTCCTTCTTTTTTTTTTTTTTTTTTAAGAAGTTTTTTTTTATTTATTTGAGAGAGAGAGAGAGAGAATGAGAGATAGAGAGCATGAGAGGGAGGAGGGTCAGAGGGAGAGGCAGACTCCCTGCGGAGCAGGGAGCCCGATGTGGGACTCCATCTCAGGACTCTGGAATCATGACCTGAGCTGAAGGCAGACGCTTAACCATCTGAGCCACCCAGGTGCCCCTCCACTAGTCCTTCTTGATCAAAGTTCTTCTCCGGACAGGAAGAGCAAGGAAAGGTGTAACGGTTTGGGACGTTCCTTGGCTGAAGGGAGGCATCCTTGGTGGTGGCCTTCACACCTTCCATGATGTAATTCTGGTACTTGGAACAGGTAGCCACGTGTTCCCGGACCTTGGATAGGAAGAAATTTTTACCACAGCCATGGCAAGAAGTCTCTGTGCTCTCAATCTGCCGCTCGAGCCCCGCGGCTCGGACGCCAGGTGCCAGAGTGCTGCGGCACACCCCACAGACCGGCTTCTTTGGCTTCAGACATTGCTGCAGCATGCAGAGCAAAAGACGTGACTGCAGGGCACTTGCACGGCTTCTCGTACACCTCTAAACACACGGGACGCGTGAGGCGGCCCAGCGGGTAGGCGTCCGCTGCGAGCCCAGCCGCCTGCGGACCACCCTCACAGTCCTGCTGTTGTGCCGCCATCTTGCAGCCGCGCAGCTAGGTATTTTCTTAATATTTACAATTAAAATTAAGACATATAATGTTAGAGTGTCTTTCTCATCTAGGTAACTATTTTTATTTCTAGAAAATTGGATTCTTCTCTTTATAGGATTTTTTTTTAAAGATTTTTTTTTTATTTATTTGACAGAGAGAGACACAGCGAGAGAGGGAACACAAGCAGGGGGAGTGGGAGAGGGAGAAGCAGGCTCCCCACTGAGCAGGGAGCCCGATGCGGGGCTCCATCCCAGGACCCTGGGATGGTGACCTGAGCCGAAGGCGGACACTTTAAGGACTGAGCTACCCAGGCGCCCCCTCTTTATAGAATTTTGACAAAAAAATCTATATACATATTTTATTTTAATTTAATACACTCTTTCTTGTGATACTTGGGGTGCACTTTTGTCCTGATAAGTCCATCTTCAGCTCAGGAGATTCTTTTCCTTCCTTCCTTCCTTCCTTCCTTCCTTCCTTCCTTCCTTCCTTCCTTCCTTCTTTCTTTTTCTTTCTTTCTTTCTTTCTTTCTTTCTTTCTTTCTTTCTTTCTTTCTTTCTTTCTTTCTTTCTTTCTTTCTTTCTTTCTTTCTTTTCTTTCTTCCTCTCTTTCGATTATTTATTCTCCAACATTTACTCCATTCTCTTCTGATACTTTTAATAAGTCAATATTATATGTTTTAGATCCATATTTCTTGTCTCGTAAGCTCTCTTCTGTACTTTCTATTTTGTTTTCTTTTTAAGTTATGGAAAAATTGCTCAAGATGAGATTCTGAATCACCAATTCAGTTTTCTGAAGCAACTGTTATGCAATTACAGCCATTTTTTGGTTTTTAAATTTTATCAAGTACACTTTTAAATTCCAAAAGGACTTTCTGGTTCTCTGATGGTTCTTTTGGCATAGCAGCCTATTCTTTTGTGGATGTGACAGTCTTTGAAACCAAGATTCATGAGTGTTGTTTAAAAAGGAACTTGTCCTGTTCCTTTGTTTGTTTGTTTTTTTAAGTTTTTATTTATATTCCAGTTAGTTAACATACAGTGTTATATTAGTTTCAGGTGTACAATGCAGCAATTCAACACTTCTATATATCAAAACAAGTGCACTCCTTAATCCCCATCATCTATTTCACCCATCCCCCAACCACCTCCCCTCTGGTAACCATCAGTGTGTTCTCTATAGTTAAGAGTCTGTTTCTTGGTTTGCCTCTCTCTCTTTTTACCCTTTGCTCCTTTGTTTCTTAAATTCCACCTAAAGTGAAATCATATGGTATTTGTCTTTCCCTGACTGACTTATTTCACTTAGCATAGTACTCTGTAGCTCAATTCATGTCCTTTCAAATGGCAAAATTTCATTTTTTTTTATGGCTGAGCAGTATTCCGTCATGTATTCCACATCTTCTCTATCCATTCATCAGTCTGTGGACACTTGGGCTGCTTCCATAATTTGGCTACTGTAGGTAATGCTACTGTAAACATCAGGGTGCATGTTCCTTTTGAATTAGTATTTTTGTATTCTTTGCATACATACTTAGTAGTGCAATTGCTGGATCATAGGGTAGTTCTATTTTTTTAAAGATGATATTTATTTATTTGAGAGAGAGAGAGAGAGTGTGCACAAGCGGGGGGGAGGGGCAGAGGCAGAAGCAGGCTCCCCAGTGAGTAGGGAGCCTGATGCGGGGCTCGATTCCAGGACCCCGGGATCATGACCTGAGCCAAAGGCAGCCACTTAACTGACTGAGCCGCCCAAGCTCCCCAGGGAAGTTATATTTTTAACTTTTTGAGGAACTTCTGCACTGTTTTTCAGAGTGGCTGCACCAATTTGTGTTCCCACCAATAGTGCAAGAGTGTTCCCCTTTCTCCACATCCTCACCAACACCTGCTGTTTCTTGTGTCATTGATTTTAGACATTTTGACAGGTGTGAAGTGATATTTCATTATACTTTTGATTTGTATTTCCATGATGATCAGGGATGTTGAGCATCTTTTCATGTGTGTGTTGGCCATCTGTATGTATTCTTTGGAAACATATCTATGTCTTCTGCCCATTTTTTAATTGGATTATTTGGTTTTTTGGTGTTGAGTTTTATAAGTTTTTTTATATGTTTCGGATACTAATCCTTTATCAGATATGTCATTTGCAAATATGTTCTCCCATTTTGTAGGTTGCCTTTTAGTTTTATTGGTTGTTTCCTTTACTGTGTAGAAGTTTTTCATTTCGATGTAGTTACAATAGTTTATTTTTGATATTGTTTCCCTTGCCTCAGGATTCATATCTTTTAAGAAGTCGCTGTATGTTCTCTTCTAGGATTTGTATGGTTTCAGGTCTCAGATTTAGGTCTTTAATCTATTTTGAGTTTTATTTTTGTGTATGATGTAAAAAAGTGGTCCATTTTCATTCTTTTGCATGTGGCTGTCCAGTTTTCCCAACACCATTTGCTGAAGAGACTGTCTTTTTCCCATTGGACATTCTTTCCTACTTTGTTGAAGATTAATTGACCTTATAGTTGTGGGTTCATTTCTGGGTTTTCTACTCTGTTCATTGATTTATTCTTTGTGTCAGTACCACACTGTTTTGATCACTACAGCTTTGTAATATAACCTGGAGTCTAGAATTGTGATGCCTCCAGC